CCCCATTGTCTGCATCCATGGGTTATGCATATATGCATAAAGGTCTTTGGTTGATTACCTACCCCCCCCCTCCTTCCCCCGCCTTCCCTCCAAGATTCCACACTCTGTTCCATGCTTCCATGTCTCTAGATCCACTCTATTCATCAGTTTATTTTGTTAATTAGATTCCACATCTGAGCAATCCACACCATAAACTTTTAAAAATATATATTTTATTGATTTCAGAGAGGAAGGGAGAGGGAAAGAGATAGAAACATCAATAATGAGAGAGAATCATTGACTAGCTGCCTCCTACACGCCCCCTACTGGGGATCCAGCCCGAAACCTGGGCTTGTGCCCTTGATGGGGATCGAACTTGAGACCCTTCAGTCGCAGACACACACACAGTCTATCCACTGAGCCAAACCAGCCAGGGCCACACCATGTACTTTTGAAATCCTTCAACACCAACATGCTCATTTCTTTCCCCATACAGGGCAACCACGAGTGGTGTAGGGAGGCTGAGAGAAAGTAAAGAAGTTCCTTTCCCCGGACCTACCCCTTTAAGAGAAAGTCACCAGACCTGTCTGGTGAGAGAAACCGGGTCACTTTCAGAGCTGAGGGGGAGTCATTGACCCGGCCCAGAGTCTCTGCCAGGGCTGGAAATCCAACACACTTCCAGGAAAGGAGGGGAGAACACAGGGGCGCAGGAGCCTCGCGGTGGTCCTGCCACTTCCCCTGTAGAACTGCCACTCTGATAAGAGCCCTTCGGTTGTGAGTCTCATGGGTGTGGCCATACTTGGGCTCTGGGCACCCGATGGGGCTGGACTGAGTTTCCCCAGTCATGCCAGGGGAGGAGTGACCCCATGAAGCCAGGCCAGGTGGCCCAGTGAGCATGCAGATCAGCTGCTCCTCAGAACTGGGCCTGACGATTCTGCTTTTTTAAAAAATATATATGTTTTTATTTGATTTCAGAGAGGCAGGGAGAGGGAGGGAGAGAGAAACATCAATGATGAGAGAGAATCATTGGTCGGCTGCCTCCTGCACGCCCCACACTGGGGAGCGAGCCTGCAACCTGGGCATGTGCCCTTGACCGGAATCGAACCCGGGACCCTTCAGTCCGCAGGCCGACGCTCTATCCACTGAGCTAAGCCGGCCAGGGCGATGATTCTGCTTTTGGCACAGAAATGCTGGGTAAACCCTAGACTACTGATGCTAGAAGGATTGATAATAGCTAACATGCACTATGAACTACGTTAAGTGCATTTATTTTCGCAAACTTCACAGCAATTCTTAAGAGGAAGGCAGCTTGACTCCAGAACCCAGATTCGTCAGTGTTCGTTACTGAGCCTTCCGTTCAAGCCCCTTTGATACCGAAGGGGAAACTGAGGCGCAGGGAGGTGGAAAAAGACTTTCCCAAGGTCGCACAGCCAAATCTGGGGACACAACCCAAGTCTCCCGGCCGCCGGTTCAGGCTGCCTGGACTTTGGTGTGCGGTGAGACGCCTCGGTGGCCTTTTCCCAGGCGTCCTGTCCGCCGGGAGCCGTCGGTGAAGCAGATGACTCAAAGGGAGGGACTGCCTTCTCCACACCGCCCCGTCCCGCCGCTCTGCGCTCGGCGGATGCCTAGCTCGCCGGCCCGGCGGGTAGCAACTTGTCTGAGTGAAACCC